GGAACAGGCCCAAATGGATCGCCTCCTCGAGGAGATCGACGGCAAGGACTGCCCGAAGGAGACCAAGAGGCGCGCCGAGGACCAGGCGCCGGCGAGGACTGCCACCACCACCGACCAGCGCGCCGAGGACCAGGTTCACTCGAGGAACGCCACCAAGAGCGTCGAGGGCCAGACGCGGGCCCCAAAGGCCACCGCCACTGACCAGGCGGCGGCTGCCACGTTGGCCGAGTTCGAACTGCCACGTTGGCACGGCGGGCCCGATGCCGAAGGGCGCTTCCGCTATAGTACCTGACCAACAAGCCGAGGACGCGAGCCTCGAGGACGCGAGGCCTGGAGTGCTCTGGCTCCGAGCTGGAATCTTTCGCTGGGCTCCAGCCCTCTGATCCTGCTCATGCCGGCGGCGACCCTCATGTTTCATCGACGTCGAAAAGGTTGGTGTCTTCCACCGCAGACTTCGAGAAGGACGAGCTCGAGGCGCGCCCTAAGTTCATCGATGCTCATGCGCGGGGCGGCTCATGCCCGCGACTCGCTTTGGTTAGCTTCCTGCCAGTCGAGACAGCGGCTGCGGGAGCTCCAGCAGTGGGCCCGAGTCCCCCCCGCGATCCTTGAGTTCTTTATTACAGGGCCATGCGCGTGAGCGACGACCGGGGCAGGAACTCCACCGTCTCCTACCCATAGCCGCAGGTGTGCAACGACGGCGTGACCCGCAAGACGATTTGGCACAGGTGCAAGCCCAACCGGGTCGCCGAAGGCTCCATGGAGGCGCTTGCAGGGAGAGGGCCTGGCCCGGGCCCGCGCGGAGGCAGTGCTAGACCGCCCTGTTGAAAGCATAGAGGTGGAGCCAGCGGTCGGTTTGGGACCGCTCAATGGCACGGGCTTCTTTTGGAAGCACGGCGACCCGCTCGAGGTCTACACTTTCCACGTGCACATTGGACGCCCGGACTTCCTCAGTCGCAGCGTCTGGGGGCCTTTGCGCGATGTCCTGATGTCCGCGGCACAGTTCTGCCATGCCCGTGAGATCGTGCGTCGACAGCCAAACGGCGTGGAGGTGCACCGATGCGCGGGCGATAGATCTCAGGCAACGAAGTGGGCCCGCTCTCGGCAGAGCTGCGGGGCAAACCTTTGAAGGACCGCCAGCTCTACGAGGTCTTCAGCGGGGTGGAATCAGCGAAAGATGCCAGCGCGATGCTGTCGCGCGCCTGGGATGCAGCAGGAGGCCTCGCCGAGAGGTTCGATGGCAGGATCGGCAAGCGGATGGATTTCCGCAGCCCAGATGCGCACGAGTGGAAGCGCAAGCATTACGAGGACCCCATGCGATGTCCACCACTGCGCGATCCCGCGCTCTAGCTGCAGCATCGCGAAGACGTCGCCAGAGAAGGTCAGGTCGCTGGATAACCCTTATGGCGCCGAGACGAACGAGGAGGCGACACGTTCGCGCATGCGGTCTGCCTTTCCGCGGTGGCGTTCATGACAGAGGGCGCTGTGGTTACCTTCGGAAACCCATTGATGTCCGACTTGTTCTCCTTGCTCGAGTACTCTTGCACGATAAGCTTCGACGGTGTCGAGGTTGTTCGCAGCGACCACTGCCAGGACGGCGCGCCCGACCAGAAGCCGCGGGCCTTTGCTGGGAACGCCGCCGCCCTGAAGGACATTGGCAGGCTGTGCAACCGCGCGAAACACAAGGTGATGCTGACGAGCACGATGTCCAGGAGGTCGGCTCCGTAGGGTCTGTGAGCGGATCGCGCTGGGTTTTGTGAAGACGCTGAACGCGACTGGCTGTTGGGGTGCAGGTTGTTCCGAGCAGGCCAACCGTTGCATGAACAGTCTTGCCACCGTGGGCGTCGCCGACAGTTTCCCGTCGGGCGCGTCCGCCAACTCTTTCGTGGACGGGGGGTAGCGCCGTTTGTCGAAGGTTCGTCGCGGAGCTGCTCGAACAACTTCGCCTGCCACTGATCCACCTGGCCCTGCTCGGCTGCAAATTGCCGACCGACGGCGCGGCGGGGCGGCTCGGCGCCCGCGGCGCAGGGCACCTGGGAGCGACGCCAACAGAAGGCCGATGTAAGTCTACCCATCGGCGGATTGCTGCGCCAGATCAAAGGAGATTGGAAGATGATGAAGGAGGTGCTCAAGCTACCAGGTTGGCAAAGATGACGCCAGATGCTTCCTGCGCAACATCGAGAAGGACGAGGCCCATCGGGAGAGCGCGACGCGAAGTGCGCCGCGGATAACGCGTGCCTTTTCGAGGGGGCAGCGTCGTCTGCCAACCCCGGCCAGCGGGGGAAAGCATGGCGGGGGAGAGGAGGGGGGGGGGGGAATGCGGCTCTGAGAGGGGGGCGGGGAAGATGAGAGGACGGCGGAGTGGGGAGAGGATGCGAATGAGAAGAACGAGGCGCCCGCTCACTCACGGCCCTGCTCGCGGCCGCCCCCCGAAGGTGAAGCCGCGGAGCGGGGTGGGTGGGCGGGCGGGCGGGAGGGGGGCGCGTCGCGGAGAACGCACCGACGGGCGCGGCCAGACGCCACCCTGAAGATCATGTGCGCTTTTTTTTCCAAGAAGTGCCCATTGCGAGCGAAAAGTTGCGCGGGCTTGACGTGATTGGCAACGCGTTGTGGATCTTGGAGCGGCAGCTGATTCGATTGGCGGCTTGGTCTGGCATCTGGTCACGCGCAGAAGATTTTCCAGGCGACGCCCAGGAAGGCGGCATGCTGGCGCCCAATCGGCACTCAATGGCGCCCCATGGCAGGCAGTCGCCAGTTGAGGCGACCAGCCGCTTGCCGAGGCTCACGCGTGGCGCAGTGGAAGGGACGCGAGCGAATATTCCAAATGTGAGGTGCGGTGCGGGCGCGCCGAGGCACGCGGTTCCGCGGGCAATGGGGCGCGCGGGCGCCGTCGTCGCGAGTGGGAACGGCGCCAGTTGGCGTGGGACCGACGCATCGCCCATTTCCGCAGCGATGAAAGTCTGAGCAATTGTTACCGAGCGCCTTCCGACAACCACCCGGTCGCAGCTGATGTTCTTCCTGAGTGTTCCTTGAAGCGCGCCGCGCGCGTTTCGGCTTGGCGAGGCGCGCCTCTTGCCCATGTCAAAGCCAAGCCGAGCGCGCATCTGTTCTTGGAGCTGCGCGCGGGCGGCGGCGAGCCAGCGAAACGCTGGTGCACGGAGCGAAGACCGTGGTGGATCTGCGTTTGCACTTGGTCGCAGCATGGGCCAGAAGAGGTTCGCGCGAGCATTTTCGCCGGCGTGCGTCGCCAAATTTTGCGGCCGCGCGATTGTGCGCACGCGTTGAAAACTAATCATTGTAGCGTCGCTGCTCCGCTTCGAAGGGGGCGGCGCGGGGGGCGAACGCCGCCACCCCCCCCTGGGGCGCGCTCGAGGGCCGCCCGCCTCTTCCCGCGGGGCCCGCCCGAGCTTCCCCCAAAGAGGGGGCGCTATGCAACGAGGAATGTGACTCGTGAGGAGTATGGCGGCGAACGAAGAGGTGGATGAGGAAACTGATGAGAATTCTCTGAACCATCGTTGTTTTTTTGCTCAGCATTTGCAGTTTTCATCCTCGTGGAGTTTCCCGCCACGATCGGGGCCGCGACAAAATGTCTCTGTGCGCGGCCAGCTCAACGCGCTCCTCGGAACGCATTGGGCCCCGCAGTGGCTGGGCACGGCTGCTGGACGTCCTCGCAAAGCACGATCTACCCGAAGGCGCGGCGCCACGACAAGGGGAAACGATTGGAGAAGCTCGTCGAGGAGAGGCTGGAGCCAATGCGCGAGAGCGCATGGCAGGGCAGCGCCGTGGAGCCCGAGCGGGCGCAGCGGCGCCGCCTGAATAAGGGGAATTCGGGAAACACCCCGTCTCTTCTGCCTTCGTGTTCATAATCGGCGACCCGCGCGTCGGCCGAAACCAGCGCGAATTAGTTCCCATGTTCGAGCATATCCGATGCGCATCCCCTCTTAGAAGGGAGCGAACGCGACTGCTGAGGCGTTTTTTATGCTTTCGAGGGCGGTTCAAAATGAATGCTAAAATCTTTGCTGTCCCCCCCCCAGCTGGGGCGCACGCGTTTTCCTGACCGAAACTCTGGGTCGTAATTACCTTTTCCCGCGCAAGCCCCCAAAAGTGTGACCCGCGGAAACAGTTCAACCCGCAAGAACAGCTCGACCTTGGAGTCTCAGAGCAGTTCAGCCGGGTCCGCGATCAACCGAGTCCGAGTTCAGCCGGGTCCGAGCTCAGCGGATCCAATTTCAGGCAGGTCCGAGTTCAGCCGGGTCAGAGATCAGTTCGTTCCCATGGGGGCCTCTGAGGCTTTTAGGACCTCTGAAAGGCCTCCTGGGGATTCTCGGGGGCGGTCATCAATAGTCTCGAAGAAGCCTCTTGGTCTTCGAAAATTGGGAGCGTCACTGGGCCGTCTTGGGGCCCTATTGGGATGCTTGACGGCCGCGGTGGAGGTCGTTTGGGGCCGTCTGACGCCCCTAGATGCGAGAGCCCCCAACAATTGTTTGACAATTCAGAAAACAACACATGATGTTGGCCTCCTCGGGCCTCCCGGGGGCGTTGGGGGTGCCTCTTGGGCCGCCTTGCTTTGATAAGCGCTTGGGCCGTCTGGGGTAATATTTGGCCGTCTTGGAGTCGACGCGTCCGATTTGGAGACCATCATTGCTGTCTTCGGGGCGTCTTGGGCCGTCTTGGAAGCCACTTTGGTTTGGCCATTCGTGGAGGCATCGCGGCATCGTGGAATCATCCTTGACGAACAAAACACATGGTCGGCACGGGTGGCCGGCGGGACGGGCCGAGACGCCGCTAGGAATTTTGTGGGGAGGCCAACACGTGCTACATTCGGGTGCGCCAACCGCCCTTTTGCAGGCAAAAGGGGGCGGTGTACCTAGTGGCCGTCGGCCCATTTTGCGACCATGCCAGGAAAGATTGGCCTCTGGTGGCCTTTTTCCTGCTCCCCCTCCTTTCCTCCCGCCCCTCGTCGTTGTTACCCTGCTGCCAGACTGAATATTCATTGGATGCAGGCAGCACCGGCTCGGTCGAGGCAGGCCCGACGAGCGTCTGGGACGAGTTCCCCCTCAGGCAGCTCTATCCGCGATGCCTCTCGGCTCGTCTGCCGCCAGTGCGAAGCGAGAGGCGGCAGAGCGTGAGGTGGTGGAGGAGGAACTTCTTCCACCTCCTCCTCCTCCTCCTCCTCCCCCTCCTCCTCCTCCTCCTCCCCCTCCTCCTCCTCCTCCTCCTCCTCCTCCTCCTCCTCCACTCCACCCAGTCCTGCACTCCCCCCTCCGTGCCTCCCGCCTCTGCTTTTTGTTGCTCCTCCGGCTCGCCTCTTCCCCCGAAGGGCATTGGGAGCGGGCCGAGCAGGAGATGGAGCCAAGGGAGAAAGAGAGGGCGAGGACGGTGACACACTTGGGAACGACAAGCCGGCGGGGCAGGAGCAGGAGAGGGCGGGGGCGGCAGGACCAGGAGGAGGGGGGGGGGTCGGGACGGGGAGCGTGAGGGGGCAGCGGCCTGGAGGCACTGGGAGAGGAGAGAGCACGAGGAGGGGGGACGAGGAACAGGAGCGGGAGGAGGAAGAGAGCGACGACGACGAGCAGGAGCGAGCAGGGTGTGGCGGAGGGAGGGGGGGGCAGCAGTGAGCTGAGATCAAGATCGCGTAGCACGGGACGAGGAGCGGGGATGCGAGAGGAACCAGCACAATCATTGAAGAGGATGCGACAGCTGGGAGCGCGGAGGAGGAAAGACACGACAAAGCCAATGGGGTCTCCTTCAGCAACAGTTTCGACGTGAGGACTCGTGCCGCTTAGGACCCTGACGGAATGGCCAGAAACCAACTTCGATTCATGCGCCGATCGGTGAGGTACACGATACCTTAAGCTTGTTAGCCAGAGTGGACCCCACCCAGTACGTCGTTGCACCGTGGAGGTGAACTGCATGCGGTGCAAGCTTTGTGGTGAAAGCGTTTGTCGTGTAATCTACGTGGCGTGTGTGCGGTGGAGGTGAAACCTGTCCGGGTGTCAGCCATCTGGCATAAGCTAGGAGGCGTGAATGGGAGGTGGAGGCTACGAAGTGTCAGCTGTGTGAAAGCTCAGAGCACGTGGCGCCCACGAGGCGCCTACGAGGCGGCACGGGCGGCAGCGCGGCGCAACCTCGGCATGCCCCCCAGCGCACGGGGCGCCCGCGAGGCGGCACGGGCGGCAGCGCGGCGCCACCTCGCACGGGGCGCCCGCGAGGCGGCACGAGGCGGCAACGCGGCGCAGCCTCGGCATGCCTCCCAGCGCGCGGGGCGCCCACGAGACGCCCACGAGGCGGCACGGGCGGCAACGTTGCGAAACCGAGAATGCGTACCCACTCCTTCACTGACGAGTTCGAGCCCCTGAGTGCAGGCAAGCACTGTTTGGGGAAGCGGACACGGGCCCAGGCGGGGCGCAGAGGAGGGCCAGGAGGAGGACAGCAGGGAGAACACAGACACAGAGATCAGAGCGAGGGGGGCCGAGACGGTCTTCCAGTCCCTGGGTGAGTGGCGGAAATGGTTCCGCAGTGCGGGTTCTGTTGTTCGTTCTTCTTCTCCCCATTGCCATTGGTAGCATTGTCAGTATTATCTTTCTTGTTCGTATTCATCTTGGGGTCCCGCGACCGCGACCGACCCGCAACGCACCCGCGGCCTGCCCCACGACCCACTCGCGTTCCACCCGCGACCCGCCGCGCGGTTCGCCTGGCGACCCGCCGACGACACGTCCAGAACCCACCCACATTGCTCTGAGAAATCGGCGCGTGCGGCGGGTTCTTCCGCTCTAGCCTTCGCGAAGACAGAGGGGAGAAAGAGAGAGAGAAAGAGAGAGAGAGAGAGAGAGAGAGAAAAAAAAAAGAGAGAGCGACAAAGCAAGAGAGAGAGAGAGAGAAAGAGCGATATGACAACTCGCAAATCCAGGGCAGCCACGGGGGCCGTTTTGGGACCGCTCCCTCCTCCAGAGGGCGAGCAGGAAGAGGAGAGTGAGAGATGACGAGGAGAAGGACGCGGGTCGATCTCGAAACTGCATTGGAGCAGGAGGAGGAGTCCCGCACCAGCTGCAGGAGCCACCGCACTCTGCATACACCAAGTGCCCTGAACAGGCCAAGGAGTACCGCCACGACGCTGAAATGAGGACCAGCTCGGGTTCGGAAGGATCTCGATGGTTCTTCGGACCGTCCACGGCGGTTCCTCGAGGTCTCCTCGTGCACCCAGGCGTTTTGGGCTGCCAAAAGAGGAGAGTTATTCATTGCTTAGCTTTACTTATGGTAGTATAGATCGACTGTAGGAGAAGGAAGAGGAAGCGGAGGAGGATGAAGAGGAGGAGGACGCGGAGGAGGAGGAGGAGGAAGAGGAGGAGGAGGGAGAGGAGGAGGAGGGGGAGGAGTAGGAGGATGACGAGTATGAGGAAGAGGAGGAGGAGGAGGAGGAGGAGAAGGAGAAGGATAATGTATAATAGGATGAGGAGGAGGAAGAGGAGGACGAACAAGAGGAGGAGGAGATGAGGATAATGAAGAGGAAGAAGATGGAGGAGGAGGGAGGTGGACGGAGGAGGAGGAGGAGGAGGGAGGAGGAAGGAAAAGGAGGACGAGGGACGGAGGAGAAGGAGGACTGCAACGACGAGGTGGAGGCTCCCCTGTTAGGGTGGGGAGCCCCGCGTTCGCGAGCTGCCACTCTGTGGTGCCGCTGGCCCTCTTCCTCATCCTGGTGCAGCTCGTCCTCGTCAAGGACCTCCAGAGCCGCGGCGAGGAGGAGGAGGAGGAGGCGGGGGCGGAGGAGTGAGGGGGGGGGGAAGAGGCTCGAGCTTCGAGTGTTGAGGTTTTCGTGCGTCTCTGTGCCCTTTCTGGTCGTCTTGGAGGCCTCTCGTCGCCGCGTTGGGCTCCACCTGTAGAGATTCTAGACAGCACGCGCCCACTGAGAGGTCAGGGGCAACCACCGGGGTGAGAGGGTGGCTCGGGGCTCAGAGGGGGGAGGACCACCGCCCACCCCTTCCCCCACGCGACGTGAAAGTCCAGGAGGAGGAGGAGGATGAGGAGGAGGAGGAGGAGGAGGAGGAGGAGGAGGAGGAGGAGTAGGAGGAAAATGAGGGGGAGAGGGAGGGGGAGTGGCAGGAGGAGGAGGAGGGAGGAGGAGAATCCAGGAGGAGGAGGAGAGGAGGAGGAGGAGGAGGGGGATGAGGAGGAGAGATCGTCGCCGCCGTCCCGTCGTTCTCCTCCTCCGCTCCTTTCCAGTGGTCGCAAGGGCCTCTCCCGCCCCGAGAGGGGCCTCTCTTTGTTATGTACTTTACAGCTGCCTAGTTTCATCATCCTCCACAGCGGCGACCGCCGCCAGGTGTGGGTGGGTGGCAGCATCCAACTTTGGATTCCAATGCCGCTAGTCTTGATGAAGAGGGGGAGGAGGAGGAGGAGGAGGAGGAGGAGGAGGAGGAGGAGGAGGAGGAGAAGGAGGAGGAGGAGGAGAATAAGGAGGAGGAGGGTGAGGAGGAGGACGAGGAACTCAGTTTTGCACCAGCAATGGCGGGACAAGGGCGGGACACCACCGGGCCACCGCCAGCCAACTAGGGGGGTTGAGTCATTGGGCTCAGCTTCGCCCTAGCAACTGCGGGTCCATTCCTCTCACCCCCTCGCCCGCTCGCACGACACGAACACGAAACCGAAACCGACTTCCCGGTGGGGGGTCTCCGTTTCACTTCGTGTTCAGCTCCCCAACCTCCTATATACACACGTGGAATCATGTCAGAGTGCGGGGGCCGAACGGGCGCGTGGCTGCACTGGGGTTCTGCGATGCGGATTGTCGTCATCGTCATCGTGGTCGTCGTCGTCGTCGTCGCAGTCGCCGTCGCCGTCGTCGTCCCCCCCGCGACCCGGCCCGCGACGCACTCGCGACCCGCCCGCGACCCCCCCGCGAACCACCCGCGGCCCACCCGCGACCCACCTCGCAGCCCACGCATGACCCAACCGCGACCCACCCCGCGACCCACCTACACTGTCTTCACGAACAAATTTGCGGCTGCGGCGTGCTCAGTGCATGAATTATTTGTAATACAAGACTGCATTGGCGCTTCACGCCATGCGCCTTGTTCGGGACCCTCCCTGGCAAAGCAATCAATCATCGCTTGCTTCAGCAGGAGGGACCTCGAGGCCTTAACGGGCGACCGGCTCATTTTTCTGATCTTTCTGGTGCCTGCTGACACCGCCTTCGCCCGATGCGCTTGCACGCTTGTGCGCAGGAGTGGGGAAGGAATGGTGATTTCTTCACGCGCGAAGGTCCTCTGAGGAAGTGAGGAACGTCCCCATGACACGCCGAAGAAGTCGCAGCAGCTCCGAACACATCGATTATTGGTCGTTTCCTGAATGCCTGGAGGGCTCCAGGCACTCAGGACATTTTTGTTCGTCGAACTTCGAATCTAGATCCATTGCCAGTCTCTCTCGATCGAGGAACTTAAACCTCGAGCCTCAAGCGTGGAACCAAGATCGTCAGGTCAGCTCGATGTACTCAGGTCAGCTCGATGTACTTCGTAGGAGAGCGCCGTCTGGGCGTTTGGGGGGTTCTTCTGGGCCGTCTTGGGGCCTCCTTGGGCCGTCCTGGGGCCTGCTTGGGCCGTTCTTGGGGGAGCTGGGCCCTCCTGAGGTCTTCTGAAGCCATTAAGGGTTTTCTTCTTGGGGGCCTCCAGTGGCTTTCCTGGGGTCTCCCATGGCTTTTGTGGGTCTCTCATGGGAGTCTCCTGGGGGCAACTTGGGTTTCTTGTATGCAGTCTCGGGGCTCTCTGGGGCAGTCTTGGGGCCCTCCTGGGCTGTCTTCAAACCCTCTGTGGGGCCTCTTGGGCCGTTTTGGGGCGATATCGGGGGCCCATCGGGCCGTCCTGGACGCTGCGACAACCCCCAAAACGGATATATGAGTGTATATATATATACACACATACACATAGATGTATGATTCCTGAGGGAATGGGACGATGCTTGCTTCTTTGACGGCCTTTGGGGGCGTCTTGGGGGCCTCTTGGGCCGTCTTCAGACCGTCGAGGTTTCTCCTGGGGCACTTTTTTGCTGTCTCGGATCTCTCTTGCGCCTTTCCGATGACCCTTCCGATCTCCGTGAGTCTGCTCGCAAGGCCCGGCAAGACGCCCTGGGAGGCCCAGGAGGGTCAGCGGACCTTCTTTTCCACAGGCGTCGAGGGGGCCGCCGAAACGTCCGAAAGGGCGTCCGGGGCGTCCCTGGGGGGGCTCCCGTTTAGGAGGGGGGCAATAAGAACATATGAAAATAGTGTGTAAACATACAAGCAAACATACATCATTCATGCATCCATACATACATATGGGGGGAGAGAGAGAGAGAGAGAGAGAGAAACAACAAAAAAAACATACACAACGAAGAGAAACAGCACAGAGAGAGGGAATGAGAGAGAGAGGGAGAGGAGAGGATAGTGAGAGCGAATGAGTTAATGAGAGGATGACGGAGCGAGAGAGGGGGAGAGAGCGAGCGGCGCCGAGAGGCCTTTTCCAAATCGAGCACCACAGAACCCACGCTTCGCTCCATCCTCCGTCCATCTCATCGTCCCCCTCCCCCCCCCCCCACCTCCCCCCTCCCTGCGTGCGTGGCCGCTACCGGCCCGAAGCCTCTCCTGACTCGAGGCTCGAGCCCGTCGGAGCCAGACCTCCGACGCCGTGCTTGTTCTTGCTCACAGCGTTGGCCCCCCGGAGATAAAGAGCCCCTTCCCGGAGGGCCCGCTTCCCATACCGAGCCGGGCCTGGTAAGGGCCCCTGGAGTCCTGCTGCTGCTTCTCCGCCTCCCCCCCTGTCCTCCTCCTCCTCCTCCTCCTCCTCCTCCTCCTCCGCTCCCTCCTCCTCCTCCTCCTCCTCCTCCTCCCTCCTCCTCCTCCTCCTCCTCCTCCTCCTCCTCCCGTCTGCCGGGAGTTCTGTGCGCGGCGCGAGGAGGCCTGGTCCAGTCCGAGGCAGAGATTCCAGGGGATCGGTTTCCGGGGACATCGACGGGCGGTAGACATGGATTCAAACAGTGGCGGAGCGTCCCCGCCTGCCTACAGGCCCACCACAGAGTGTTGTTAGAACTTGTGATGGTTTGCATGACACGCTCGTAGAACATTTCTGGATGAAGCATCCTTGATTTAAGCAGTTGGATGTGTGTTATCAGATCATTGTGTTTGTGATTGGAACCTTTCTCTAGGTTCTAAGAACAGTTCGTGGTAGGCCCACAGAAACGCCAGGACGGTCGGTCCCTGCTCAGTGGATCTCGTCGCGCCTGGTTGGGGGTGGGGGGTGGTTATGAACAAGTCCCCGGCTCGAACCTGGGCGAGCACGCCGCGCGCCGCGCGCGGCGCGAGGGGCAGCATGCCAGCGGAGGGCGCCGGGGCCGGCGAGGCCCAGCAGAAGCGGCCGCGGCTCGCCGACGGCGGCGAGGCGGCGGCGCTGGAGCGCGCCGGGCGTGAGCTGGGACTGGGCGACCGGGGCGCAGGTGACTGGAGCAGTGGCGAAGCGTTCTGGTGTGCGGTCAGGACGCTCGGCCTGCCACGCCTCGGCGCGGCGCGCCATGGCCGCTTCCGGGTCCCCGAGGGTCGGCGTCCCGAGCGGTATGCCTGGCCGCCCGCCCGGGCGGAGCGGAGCGGCACGCGGTCCGCTTGCAGGGTATAGCTTGTCGCCGGGACCACCGCCGCGACGCGCGGAGCAAAAGTTTCTGGCCGTAGGGCGCAAAGGTATACTACGACCACACTTCGGGTGATGAGAATGTTCGGGGGGGGGAGGGACCGACGTCTCACTCAATCGATCTCACTATCGATCTCACTATCAATCTCGCTATCGATTTCATGATGGCTCTCACGATCAACCTCGCTCTTGATTTCACCATTGATTTTGTTGTCGGTCTCGCTATCGGTCTTACTATCGACCTCACTATCGGTCTCACTATCGACCTCACTAGCGATATCACTATCGAGCTCACTGCGGAACACCGGCGGGACACCGACGGGCCACCATGGCGGGACACCCCCAGCCACCGCTCGCCCACCGGGGGGGAGGGCCGGACAATGGTCTTACCCGCCCTAGCCACAGCGGAGTCATTCTTCTCGCCCGCCCCCGCAGCTTCGCCTCGCCCGCACACGCACGACACGAACTCAGAGCCCCGAATCATCAGGGGTAACTCGGGTCAGGGATAACTCGGGTTCGTTTTTCGGGAATCCAAACCCGAGTTACCCCGGACCCGAGTTACCCCGGATATTTCGGGCGTCCAGAGCCCCGAATCATCAGGGATAACTCGGGTCAGGGATAACTCGGGTTCGTTTTTCGGGAACCCAAACCCGAGTTACCCCGGACCCGAGTTGCCCCGGATAACTCGGGCGTCCAACGAACCCGAAACCGAAGCCGATTTCCCGGTGGGGGGGCTCTCCGTCCCATTTCGATCTCACTCCCCAACCTCCGATCCACATCCACCGCTTCTGGCCAGGCCCATCCTGAGCCCAGGAGCGGTGCCCCTGGGCCCCCTGGCTTGGCCTGCGAGGCATACATATATATATATATATATATATACACACATAGCTCGAGGAAGGGGGACGGTAGGATAGCTGGATGACGATGAGGAAGAACGGAAGGAGGAAGGGGAGGAGGACGATGAGGAATGGCTCAATCAAAGCTCTGGGGGGTTTGCTGGGGGGGGGAGCGAGCAGCTGCCGTTCCTGGGCCCAGGATGGGCCTGGGCAAGGACGGTGGACCTGTACAGATCCCATCGCCGGTCTGCCCGCAGTGCAGTCAGGCACCCCGAAGCAGAGCCTGACTCAGACTCAGAGGCGACGATGGGGGCGAAGCGCCCAGGGGAGGAGAGCAATCCGCGCATCCAGGGGCGCAGGTGATCTGTGTCTTCGGAAAGGCTCCCGGGTGAATGCGTACAATGCTTCTTCCTCCTCCTCCTCCTCCTCCTCCTCCTCCTCCTCCTCCCCGTAGCCATTTTGGCTCAAGATGCTGTGTTCCACAGGGGAACACGTGGATACCGCTAGTCCGCGGCCAGTCTTCAGTCCTTCCCCTGGTCAGCCCCAGGGCGAGCGTCGAGGTGGTCCGCCCCACCTTGGCGCGTCTCTCTCATCCCAGGCATGGTGCCGCAGCCGCCAGCGGTCACTGTGCTCCGCGGCCCGCGCAAGCCCCACTGGTGCTGCGGGCAATGCGGGCGCGCGGAGAACTGGGCGTGCCGCATCCAGTGCCTCTGCGGGCGCGACGCGCCTGCCGCCATCGTGTCTCGTGCTCGGCAGAAGCACAAGGAGGCAACCGAGGCTGGCGGCGGCGGCGGCGGCAATAAGTCGGGCCCCAAGCTGCAAGGATGCTCGACGCAGGGCATCCCCAAGCAGCTCGCGGAGTGGATGCAGGCCATCGAGAAGCGCTTGGCGCCGCCCGCCACGGCGCTGTGCCACCAGGCCGCAGACGGTGCTGACCCTGATAAGAAGTCGCAGAGTGCCAAGCTCGCGGAGCGGATCACGGAGCTTGAGGAGTGCCTCAGGAAGCTTCCACCCGCTGACGAGCGCAACAAGGATCTTCGGGTTCCAATCGAGAAGCAGTTGGAGACTCTGCGCGCGGAGAAGCGTGCGCTGCTGTCTCCCCAGACCCTCCATCGGCGCACGCAGCAGGATCTGCAGCGGGCGAGGAAAGGCCTGGAGAAGTTGGAAAAGGAGTTGGGCGAGAAGGAGCGCCAGCTGGATGAGCTGGCCAAGGGCATCGCGATGCGCAAGAAGCTGGAGGTGGCGGCGCTGGACGCTGCTTTCAACGAGTCGGCCAAGAGCCTCACCACCGTCGCGGCCGAGATCGACCTTGCTGAGGAGGACGTGGCCGACCAGCCCGACCTCGTCGCCATCGTCAAGTCCGAGGCCTGGGCCAAGCTCAAGTCGGCGGTCGCCAGCAAGGCTGCTGCCCGCGCTGCCAGCGCTGGGGCTGTTCCTCCTGCTGCCGATGCTGCTGATGAGGCTACGCCTGCCCCCACGGACGTGCAGAAGCGGGCCCTCTTCCACGCGCGGAGCGAGGGAGACCTCGACGGCTTCATGTCCGCCTTCGACACCATGTGGTCCGAGATGGCGGCCAAGCGCGCGCGGCACGGGTAGCCCAGCGGCTGCCTGGCCCGACGTCTGCGGGCTGCCTGGGCGTGGGCGGGCGCCGCCGAGCGGGGCCAGGCCGGCTGTTGGCGCTGAGTTCAGCATCGAGACCTACAACGCCAGCGGCGGCAAGGCGTCCGTCAAGAAGCGCCTTGCCAGCACGTCGGCAAGCGTGGTTTTGCTGCAGGGGTTCGGGCACATCAGTGAGCACGTTGAGGCATTGGCTTCATGGTGCGGTATGCGAGGATGGAAGCTCATGGCGTTGCCGAGCCTGCCGACTAGTGGTTCTGCGCCGTCGGCAGGAGTTGCGGTTGCCGTGCGCGATCGCCTCTGACTGCGTCCTCCCACCTTCGGTTCGCACGAGGTCTTGCCGAGCCGGGTTCAGCACGTTCTTCTAGATATACCCGAGTTGCTTGTCGGCCTGCATGTCTTCCACGTGTATCTATGCACGGGCGAGGGCGCTGCTGGCCGCAACGGCAGGCTGTTGCAGGAGTTGGGCCTTGCTGCTGAGACACTGGACGGTCCCGTCGTCGTCGGCGGTGACTGGAACATGTGCCCTGGCGAGTTGGAGGCGAGCTAATTTCCTGCTCATGTTGGTTGTTCGATTGTGAGCACTTCTTCCATCGCGTTTCGAGGAGGTACAGGTCAGTCCATCATTGATTATTTCCTCCTCAACTCAGCGGCAATGAGGATGTATGCGAGTGTGGGCATTTATGTCAAGTGGGCCAAGCGAGGCCATCGTCCCGTTCATGCCGTCCTCAAAAAGCGATTCTGAGCACGTCAAGCGACTGGTCTACATGGTGGCGCCAAAGATGGGCACTCAGATTACCATCGGGCCGCAGGTGCAGCCGCCTGCTTACACTCGCGCTCGGTGTGCTGCTGAAGCTGCCGTACAGACCTGTGCTGATCCTGAGTCTCCTCCTGGAGTTGGACGGGGCCTCCTCTCGGCGGCGTGGGGCCACTTTGCGGTCGCAGCTGCCGAGGCTATTGCTGACGCTGTTGGTCATCCGGATCGCAATGTCCTCATTGGTTTTGCGCGTCCCTTGCAACCTCGGTGGGTCGACATCACCTACACGGTTAAGGGCGCGTCCGACCTGCAAGCCGTGGCAGAGGGATGGCAGTGGTTGCAGTCTTCCCTCCTCAGCATCACGCAGTTTAAGCCGATGGCCAACCCGTCCGCGCAGGTCTTGGCGATGGCTGCAGAGGAGATCCTCAATTTCACCACGGCCAACTACCATGGGCAGGGTCTTGCTGCAGGCCTCGACCGAGCTGTTCAGCAGGCGCGCGGCCTGACACAGGCTGTCTTCGACGAGGAGGCCTGCCGCGAGTTCCTCGGTGACATCGAGGCCGACGTCAAGCTCGCGCCCAACGGAGCTACTCAGACGGACCACCAGAACTGGAAGGAGTGGTGTGCCATGGCCGTATCCAGTGGCTCGCGTGTCCTCCGCCGTACCACCAAGCACCGTGACGTTGCTCAGCCTACTGTGGTCCCTACGGCCCATGGTGCGTCGGCTCGCGTTCATGATGTCGTTCGGCATGAGGTGGAGCTGTACAAGAGGCTATGGTCCAGCTCCCGACCTGTGCCAGCATGGATTCCTGACCGAACGGCGCTGCCGAAGGCGACCCCTGACGAGATACGCGCAGTTGCGCGATCGTTCTCGGTCAACACCACGGCGGCGCCTGACAATGTTCATCCTCGTCACTTCCGTCTTGAATGATCAGGCGCCCGAGGTGGTCGCCCTAATGTTCACGGCGATGGAGTCCCTGGGCCTGCCGCCGAGGCAGCTGTGCTGGTTGATCACGCCAATGCTACCCGAGACGTCTGGTGCTGGCAGTCGGTTGGTGGTGCTCTATGCTGGTCTTTACAGGATCTGGCAGCGGCTGCGTCGGCCAGTGCTTCGAGAGCTGCAGGAGCATATTGATAGGCCGTGCTGGGGCGCTCTTCGTGGGCGGTCCTCCGTCGACTGCGCGTGGCTCCAGGCGACCGAGGGCGAGGCCGACAGCAAGCAGGCCTACCACGGAGCGCTCGCCGTGGCCGACCTCAGCAAGTGCAGCGAGCGCATCCCTTTGACCAAGCTGCGCGACAAGTACATCAGCTTCAACACGCCCACGGCCTTTCTGAAGTTGGTGTACAACATGTGGCGTGCGCCACGTGTGCTGCGACTGGCTGGTCATCATGCGGAGCAGGCCCTGTGTGCCGATTGCGGCCTCCGCGCGGGAGATGTGTTTTGCGATGTTTCGGTTAAGGTATGGTCTGTAAGGGAGTATGACAGCTTCCTCGTCAGGCAGCCTTTTCATTCAGTTTGTGAGCTACATTGACGACAACTCTATTCGGGTTTCGCCTACCACAGTGGGTACGACTACCTCCATGATGGTCGACGCCATGCTG